ACACACACACACACACACACACACACACACACACACACACACACACACACACACACACACACACACACACACACACTTCGTAGCTAGTAGCTATATATAGGACGGTTTATTGGGTTTCAGTATAGCCCGATAAAATATCTTGCGTCTGACTTATGCGCTCAGGCAGGTTTCCTCGGATAGCTTGCATGACTGTAGCTCTTTACCTTCAAACTACGTTTTTGTAACAATGCAGAGATTATAGATGGAGATTGCGCATACTTGCACGCCGTACACTTAATTCTTCATCGGCATCACGTGATCAGATCATTTAGACCTACCCAGGGCTATTGATCCAAATGTTTAACGGCGGCCTCTTGCATGACATCCACGAGACACTATAGCAGATTTCAACGCCGTTATAATAACGGAGTTTAACAGCATTTTCTCACGCGAGAACAGAAACTATGTTATTGTTTACACACGTCTGCGACCGATAAGCATTGTCCTCTCAGATCTGCATGGCCAAACCAACCTGGCGGTGACCGTCTATAAAAAAAATCTATATAGAGCGAATAACGGCGCAGGGCGATGAGTACGTGATCATTGCTCCCTTGTATTTATCATCGCTGAAGTTAGAATGCTATCCGATTATGGCAATTAAAATATTGAACACGATGTGGCTCTTAATATATGATAATTGATCCGCGTGTAAACTGGCCAATTTTTAAAATCAATATTAAATTAGGATTTGCACCCGATCGAATTCACTCTAGCGCGCCACAATCGCGGACTCTTCCCGAGAACGTTTGAATTCATTGAGTAGATATCATAAGCACATCTTCCCACCGGCTATTTTTTACACACAACAGTACAAAAGTTATTATTTACTACTTATTACTATTACATATGTTTATTATTTATTATAGTTTATTAGTTTATTATTATTTTATTACAGTTTATTGGTCTGTTTATTAAACTATGACCAGAACAAGTGAACAGATATGTGTTTCACTTAATAGCTGTTAATAGCAGAGCATATAAATCAACATTTATATGCTCTGTTAATAGTTAGTAAAGTAGATGGCGGTTGAACGCGAAGGCGGTAGCGCGATGGAACACGCTGTGTTATAGCTTAGACCGCGGCGCGCACATTGACCTGCAAGGAACAGCAATTTTTTATACTAAAACTTTTTGCACTTGACACGAGAATGGCCCTCGGGTGGATTAGCTGGACGCGGAACTATTGTTGAGTCAGCGGTCTAGTAACCTTGGTGCATTGTGGATTTTAATACGGAACTACGCCGGAAAACTAACGGGCGCGTACTTCAGCTGAAGCTAACAAATGACTCTCCCGCATGACTTTCCACTTCGCTAGAGTGACGGTTGCTCTGATGCCGTTGCGGTGTCACAAATTTACTTCTAGCTTTATATAGAAGCCTATATAGCCAACGGCCCGAAGGCATTCGATTCGCACGATAGACTACACGTATGATTTCCAAAATCGTGTTAGTAGCAAATCTAAGTTAAAAGGTTAATTGGAAGAATAGGTCCAGCATACGAATGATCTCCGTGTGACCCACAGCTGGACACCAACGCAGTGTTCCCACAGCTATAACTGGCAGCTCGACCCGTCCCAGTTTTACACTGCCTCTCTTATATGCCCGTCAATACAATCACGGTACCTTGTATATATGTCACATCAGTAGTGACCACGGTGGAACTCAACCCCCAGACCGTTCAGCCGGAGGCCAAGTGAGAGGATTTACTAGACAAATACTATATAGCATTTCTCAATACTCGAGCCTTTGTACTACCTTGCATAGGAATATATAATAAGACATGCAAGAGGAAGCAAACGTTCGAGTGATATGCGCCTATATAATAATTATAATGTAAAAAATATGTCATGATTTCCCACCATACCTCAGCTCAAGTCAGCAGGCGTATCCCCACGAACAGTGTTAGTGACAGGTATTGTAATGAATGGAAGCATGAATAGAATGTGGTGTGACCACCTTCTGAAAAGCCGATGAACTCGCTGAACCCGGTAAAACCTCGGCTATCCGAGATAATTGTCATCGTACTTGCTCCCTTCCCAAAATTCTAACTAATGCACTCTCAGACTGGTTTCGTTTATCTCTCCATACGCAGAAAGTATTCATTTATTTGCCTATACTTTCACCGTTGTTGACTTCATATCGAACTAGAACATAGCTATGCATGCTACTGACATGATTTCATATATGTTGCTAAGCTCCAACTATATATCTGATCATATACTATCATGAGGCTAACTCAACGCAATATAAACAATGATATAATATATACAACATACTAGTATACCTAGCATAACTTTACTATAATATAGTTAAAATACGCAGGCAATCTTACCCTAGAGTATGTGGAATTCCTGTAAATTGGCTCCCTTTGCGTACGCTTAACAAACGAGTGCACAGTGGACGACGACCTCTGTGGTGTAAACTAGTTTATTAACGCTATATGCTGTCAGACACCATAACTGTGTCTGCAGGAACCCACGCAGCGATCTAGCTCTATGAATGTGGCAATGAATGTGGTGTGCGTGTTCGTCTGGGGCTACGTGCCTAAGCACACATACATACGTCACGCTTCGCGTCCACGGGCGCATAACCGGCGATGCGTAAACGTGCGTGGCTGTACCTGAAGCTACGTATACCATGCAGGATAACATACACCAAACCTACAACGGCAATATAATAATAATAATAATAATAATAATAATAATAATAATAATAATAATAATAACGACGACGACAGAGGCGGCGGCAGCCACGACAACGACGACGACAACCGTGACAACAGCAAAATAAGCTACAACCGGGAATGATAAATGATATATGAAAACGATCAATGACAATAATAATAATAATAATGATAACAAACAACAAACAACAACAACAACAACAACAACAATAATAATAATAATAATAATAATAATAACGACGACGACAGAGCGGCACGGCAGCACGACAAACGACGACGTCAACCGTGCAACAGCAAAATAAGCTACAACTTGCGGATTGATAAGATATTATGAAAAACGATCAATGACAATATAAATAATCAATAATGATCAACAACAACAACAACAACAACAACAACAATAATAATAATAATAATAACAACAGAGGCGACGATGAGTACGAGAAGGACCACGACGACAACCATGAGCCGACGGCAACGGCGGCGGCGGCGGCGACGATGGCAGCAAAAACGACAGTAGAAAGAAAAGGAAAAGAATTAGAATAATAGTATAAAGGTGAAGACGATGGTGATAATGATGCTGATGCTGATGATGCCAAAAACAAAGAAAAAAGTGCCAGTAACAGGAACGAGGGGGAGAGACATTTGCTCTGGTGAAATACCGCATAATTATAATAAAATACCGTATAATAAATGCAATTATTTGTATTTGATCTTTTTTGTTATCTTTTATTGTTTATCCTAACTTCTCTGAAGATTTAATGGCAGCATTTTATTAATTAAATACCTTTTGTTTGTTACACGTGTATTCGTTTTACGGTTTAATGTAACGGACATTGTGCTAACCATAAAGGTTGTATATAGTTATAATCACTCATGTGTGTTTATCTCCGATGTAATTACGTGTAATATGCCCCCACTGGATAGAAAAAAAATAAAGCAAATAAATTTATACAATATAGGAACCAACAGAAGTACCGCAAGAATAAGAAAAATGCAAAAACCAATGTTATAAAAGGAAGAAAGGTTGAGGAAGGATAAGAATTAATGCGCTATTAAAAAATACTTTTAAATACAGCTGGGAAGGCGCCAGGCGAAGTGGATAGAGAAAGTGAAAACGAGAAAAACGAAAAAAATGCTAAATAATCTCCAAGGGTTTGAACCAGACTTAATTCCAGTCGTTGCCAGTACAGAGCACGTGATCGAGGAGATAATTTTGGCCAATATTAGGCGTAGTTACTCTATTGTTCTATTAGGATAAATAATTATTGCGTGCCATATATCTATCACTAAGACCAGTGTACGTTACACTCTGTACGACATAATATTATTACATCGCGTTGACCTCGCTAGAGTAACTGTGTTAGTAGCAAGCAAATACACTGTATATCTTTATATACACAGGGAATTATATGTATACAAGGTCAGATTCTGATCGCCTTCTTCTCACCGCTAGCCTTCACTTCACTTTACTGTCACTTTGCACATGTCAGCCGCGCCGATGTTTTTGCTGGGAGCGAAACGCTCGTGCGAGTATAGGAGAAAGCTGCAGCAACGAAAATTAATCCCGGCGCGCTTCAAACGTCAACATCCTCGTCATACGTGACCAAAGAAATATGGGTGAAGGCCGTATACCATGTAGTACTGCTACGCGTACGCCCGAAATGTATTTTTTATGCGTTCCTCCAACAAAATAACAATATATTATTAGTTGATATTGGGAGGCGAAATCAGGTTTACTTTGCGATGCTGGCGACCACATCATGTAGGCTCATGGTTTGTGCGTGTGTATCATCATATTGTAATTTACCATTAATACGAGTCTTATTACAGTAAAATTCACGCACCACATAAAAACTAGTCAAGACGTATGACCCACATTGGAACAACAATAATAACGATATAAATTATTCATAGGACGTACAAATCTCCGTTATAATTTTGACATAAAACGTTACTAACCTCATTTTAAAGTATCTAGTAAAGTTGAGATTGATACACTTCTTGCCATCGAAAAGTGTATACGTAATAAAACGATTTATATATAATATTAACACCTGTTGCTTGACTTTTCAAACGATGGCTAGTACTGTGTGCTGAAGCCAGAGGATCGTTTCAACAGTATCATTTATACAGGTAGCCATGCGGCCAATAATCACTTTAAATCATCTACATCGGCAATGAATACGAAAGCAGTTTGGCAAACATTGCTATCTCCATAACCACGCTTTACTTCTCACCTGATAAAGATGAATGTTTAAACATGATTAACAAGAGAATCGTTGAAGCTACATTTTAATGTGCCCGTTGAAGATTAAACTGCAAAATTATGTGGACTATAAAGTAAAAACCGAACAGGCAAGTTCATTATTGTTTGATATTTGATTATGGCATTTGATAAGTTCACACAACAACAACAACACACACACACACACACACGACGGCACGCACGCACGCGCGCGCGCGCACACGCGCACACGCACGCACACACACACACACACACACACACACACACACACACACAACACACACAACACATACATACTTACATACATACATACATCATACATACATACAACAACATACATACATTGACATACAGTACATACATACATACATACATACCATACATACATACATACATACATACATACATGACAGTACATACATACATACATACATACATACTACATACATACATACATACATACATACATACATACAATACATACATACATAATACATACATACATACATACATACATACATACATACATACATACATACATACATAACATACATACATACATACATCATAATACATACATACATACATACATACATACATACAGTACATACATACATACATACATACATACATACATACATTTACATACTATACATACATACATAACATACATAACATACATACATACATTACATACAACATACATACATACATACATACATACATACATACATACATACATACATACATACATACATACATACATACATACATACATACATACGGACGGACGTAGGCCTACGTACGGACGCACGCACGCACGCACGCACCCACACGGATACGCAAATATAAATAATCATGACTCATCTTCATGTACACGTTTTTTTAATATCGCCATAATTTATACCGATCAGGAATATCACATCGTATCAAGAGCGTATAAAGAAGGGATACGCTTGATTATACGCTTTCTTTATACGCGCTTGATCGTATTAACTTGATAGCTATGGTATGGAGTTACGCATGCACGCAGGGACGCATTCAATTATTCAGGGATGCACCCGCAGTCAATTATTGTGACGTCACTGCTATGCGGTTACTCAGCCGTTCGACACGGTTTATGCGCAGGCATTCGGCAAGTCATAAAGTTTACTAGGCAGCAAAATTCGTTGTCGGTCTAAGAATGCGGAAGATGTGACCTACTTCCATTTACACATAGATTTTTTATATATATTATAGATAGGTATACGTATATACGTCTCTGTATCATGATGACTCTGAATAATAATCGTGTATATTATAATCGGGTTTTCTCTCCCCGCCACTCTAGTTTGATAACTAAATATTTCCACGAGAATTTCCAACCGTATTAATTACCGCGCGCAGGTACGCAATATCACTTATCGTTAGACAGCGCTTTATAGTGACACTTTGACACTACGGACATTATTATCACATTCGTCGATATGTACTATACATATAATATACGTAACATGTCTTACTGCTATCGGGCATATATTCCCCAGTTGTCTACTTAATTTAAATTATTTATATTAATTGCATGCTGCATGGATATGCTGAAAATACTGAACATCATGTGTTCACGTTCCTCGAACTCGTGTCACTCACTCACTATATGCATCAGGGCCGTAGCCTGCGGGGGGGGGGCAAGGGGGGCAGCTGCCTCCTAGATTTTGAAGCAAAATTAAAAAAATAAATTGTTCTACTAAAAGAGAATTGTCGTAGTCAGAATGAAGGCTGTCCATGTACTCAAACGTGCCTCAAATACCATCTCCGGCTATCTAAATTTTCAAAATTTTCTGTGGGAAGACCCCCAGACCCCCAACTGTTTCGCACCCCCTCCTTGAAATCCTGGATCCGCCACTGCCCCCCCCCCTAGGAATTTGCTTAGCCTACGGCCCTGTGCATATACGCAGTCTCTCTCTTGTGTCCGCCGTGTGAACTGTAATCCATGAGCGGAAGGTGTGCGACAGTGCCCACGCCTCCCGCGGTGCCGCTAAATTATACATCGTCAATCGATGAGGGTTTATTATGAGGGAGCACTTGTTCATTCTGTTTCACTACAGTCGTTAGCGGCAGTTGTCGCCATGGCTCCATAACGACGCACTAGTGAGTGCCATGCAGTGCAGATGGAAAGGGGGGGCTGCATTTTCGCACAACATTAATGTGTCTCACTTGTCCATCCGATTAACCTAGTTTGGAAAATATGCAGCGTAAGATTTTCCGCAAGATTCTATTACCCGAGAATCTGCCGACACGATGAAAACAAAATCAAAATTCACGAGCGTCTCAAATGTTATTATAACGACAGGGTATGCGACTCTAGCACCACTCACCCCCTACGGCGACATCAGTATTTCGTCTCACGTGACAGATCGAAGATCGCGAAGCAAACAGAACCAAACACATAGTGGTAGAGTGAGCGTCGCTACTGACAGCGTTGTCAAATAACGGTACTTACTTTCTAGAATATTAAGCAGCAACAACAACAGCATTTCATAGAGAATGTGAGATTAATCGGCTCGACGAAATCGCGACACTTTCTATAGAGTTAGATCGC